ATTTGCGACAGGTGAGTAAACGGGAAACTGCAATCGTGGAATAATTTAATCATTTAAAGCCAAAGTACAGAACCTATAGATGTAAAAATATAGGATAATTCTTGGTTGAGAAATACGTAGGCCTACTTTCTACTTCAATTAAGAAATGTTTTTTATTTTTCTAATGAAATTACTATAATAATAGGCATACATTGGTATTCAGGACTATAGGCTTGCAGATTATTATTAAACGTAAACCTACTGTACACTGTTAGTTTCTGTCGGCTTGAATCAATAACTAAGGTTAGGCAATTTAATTTTATAATACTTAGGCCTACTTCATTGATTATAAAAGATTATAAAACAGAAATATTATGTACAATTTTTATGTTATCTTATCCATTAGGCTACACTTATATCCGATGCGCACGAAATACTGAGGATACTTGGCGCCAAGGATAAAACACATCTCAACGAAGTGTTCAACCAATATAAATCGGTAAAAAATACAATAATAATAATAATAATAATAATAATAATAATAATAATAATAATAATAATAGTAATAATAATAATAATAATAATAATAATAATAATAATAATAATAATAATAATAATAATAATAATAACAACAATAATAATAAATACGGTAGACCTACACTGTAACTACTGTTGACATATAATGCGGCACAAGGCTAGCGCCAGTGGGATGGGAGATGAGAGCTGGGCCCCGTCGAGGAGAAAAAATAGAATTCGTCGGAGAGAAAAAGTGTTAATATGCGTGGTCTTCTGTACCAATTTAGGAAGATGTTGAGCGACACCCGATCACTTTGCTCTCATCTGGGACATCAGCCCATCCCAAAACCCCGGACGGGGTCAACGGACTGCCGTCTGGCAAATCCTCTGCCTCCCCTGCGGATGCGGCAGTCTTAAAGCTGTATATGTCGTTAAATATCAATACTCCATAGCATCACATACATAAACAATACAATAAGTGCAAGAATAAACAAATAAGACTTTATAGTGCATTTTTGCCCAGTCGGTGAAAGCTTCCCCCTCCCCAGTCGTGGAAAAAATCTGGAAGGAAAATGTGAGACAGCTCTAATCCTTAAATTATCGGAGTCTCCGAGGGCTTTTCCCCATTGACCCCTCTCGTGAGTATTGTGGGTTGCCCATCGCTCAAATAACTTATGCTCTTGTCAGGGTCATCCGACTCCCCGGCAAATCCTATTGACACCACTTTGTATATCCATGGTGAGATTGGGTTTGCTATACAGTTACATATAATATAGGCTTATATATTATAACCTCAGCTTGTGCTGGTGATGGACAGGATTTCCTCTGTCTTGTAACACAGTCACATTTATTTTTATATCTTTAAAAAAAAAAGAAGCAAAGTCATGCTAAATTTACTTGCAATTTCGTACACATTATTTTTATTTTACTGCTTAGTAATTCTTATTCTTTAATCTGGTGGCCTATTCAGTACATAGTACAGTTCTAACGTAGGTGCTTGAGGACCATTTCAAATAAATTTGGCTTGTTTTGGTATATCATTTTAGTTCGTACGTTTTAAAAATAACTTCTATAGAATCAAACCGCAAAATAATATTTATTTAATTGAAGTCAAATATTTCTCTCTGTAGCTTTTTCGAGACACTTCTACTATTTTTCCAGTTGGCCTAAGTCGTTTATAAAATAGAATACCGAACTCTGATATTGTTCTGATATTAGCTTGGCAGCCAATCTAAGGCCACTTTGTCTCTCTACACATGATACTGATACCAGAACATAATAACACAAAAAGAAAAGACAATTAAGCTATCAGAATTAAGATGTTATTATCGCCCTTTGGCATGCCGCCCTACATCTCTTTTAGGAAAAGGAAAATTTACACAATTATATTTGCTTATTCAAACATTTATTGTCAAATAAACATAATAATATTTCATAATCTTCGACAATGTATGGGTCTTTAAACAATACTGTTGTTGAATATTGATTGTGATTAACCCTGAACCAGCAAATTCAATTTCTTACACAAGTACTGATTTTTTACTTAGGCAGGTGAACAAATAAAATAAAATACGCAAAGCACACACAAAGTATTATTCTTCATGGGCCTATGCTTATTATGAAAAGGAAAGTGAATTTCATGTGCAAATTGTGTCTTAAGAGTCTAGAGTTTTCATTTTGATTTACACAGACTTATGGACGCTGGGTACAGTATCACATACGACGTAAGATCACCGGGAGTGTGCAGGCGTCTCTTCTCAACATTGGTAGGTCCACACTATTAAATTTTATTTGACAGAAACATGTGACATGCCTAAATATGGTCATGATGACATCACATCATGACTAATACACAGGCACATCTTGACTATATGGGCATACAACAGTTTTTTTGGTCAGAGAGCCTCAAATAATGAAATTACTTTTCGAAGCGGAAGGGGTGGTGCCATAAAATTATTTATTTTCTTTTATAATTTTATACATGTATAGTTAATATATATATATA